CAAGTGAGGGTAAGAGTCATGACGACACAGCAAAGGCCTTCAAAGATGAAAAATGCCAAAAACCGGAGCTTTGCAAAATCTTCAATCTGAGCGTTGAAGCATTTGTGATAGTTCAGGTGGGAAAAGTCTGATCATGTGTGTCTTATCTATGAAGAAGGAGTGACTGGCATGTATGATTTCCAGGAAGATGTTTACTTATTTTAGAAAACAAATGACTTCAGAACTCTGGAAGTACAGACGTGAAGGAAATGCTCTGCAGTGTTTGGCAAACAAACCAGCGGGCATGGGGCATGATTTCCAGGAAGATGTTTACTTATTTTAGAAAACAAATGACTTCAGAACTCTGGAAGTAGAGACGTGAAGGAAATGCTCTGCAGTGTTTGGCAAACAAACCAGCGGGCATGGGGCGGTTCTGACGTGAGGCCAGAACCTGGCGGAGCCAGCCCCACGGAACCAGCCTCTTCCTCTTGATGGCAGCAAGCTGAGCACTGACCCAGTACGCCTCGACCCACTCAGTAGGGACAGGAGATCCTAATAGATTGTTTACCTTATTTCATAAAATCAAGAACTCCCAGGTAACATTTCAGCTAGGCTGGTTTGATAAGATATATGCAAATAAGACTATTTCTTTTAATAGTCAACAATTCAGATTGCTGTTCCTCTACTAATTTTAAAGGGAGGGAGCTGAGGAGGACAAAATGACTGAATTATCAATAATGATGATGTCCCAGATGATTCTAAGCACTAAGAACATCATAAGAAAAACAGAAAAGGCAGCAGCCAGGGGTAAAAGTAGCTCTAAACTAAATCATCCAGGAGAGAGCAGTGCATGGGGATGGCATTTAATTCACAAGCTAGGGCGGTTTCAAAACAGCAGCCTCCCTGCTTCACATTGTCACAACAACACCAAGATCATAAGGCACATTCGTTTCTATATCCTTGAAACCACTTTAGAAAGTGTCAGACGAGACAGACTCAAGGCCCTACTGAGTGTGCCTGATTGCTGTTCGGCACACGTTCTGCTCATGTGTGTCACTGCCTAGACAGACAGACAGACACTCTGGCAAACAACACAACTCTGCCCTCTTAGAGCAGACAGCACCGTCTCCAGGAAAAGACAGAGATTTTGGAAGGCTATGCTACCTCTGCTTCTCAGGAACTGCTGAATCTATATAGCTTCAAAATAAGAAATGCATTTCATGGAAGGAAAATGCTGTTTCCATGATGGATGTTGCTAAGGGGCCACTCAATATTTTACCAACAGCACCGACTACCTGTGTACATGTATATGTAGGTGTTTGGGGTGTGGGGTTGTTCTGACAGGTTTATGTGTAGGTGTCAAAGAGTTTTTGTGACTGAGACTGTATTTCTACGTGCAGGGGAAGACATTAAGTGTTCCCTTTCAGAACCGGGGACTGAAAAAGTTGACACAGGCCTGGTTATTAAGATCTTGTTGAGGATACTCACCGTTTATCTTCTTTTTCTAAAAAGTGGCTGAGCGAAGGAATGAAGGTAGCGTAAGGGATGGAGGCTGCAGCTGTCACTGCACGCCTCAAAGTCTCCTAACCCAACCTGCCCTGGGTTCGCACCGTAGCACACGTCTGAGCTCCCCGTTTGGTGTGTGACAGGTGAGGCAGGCTTTTGTTTACAAGCTGATGAGTCTGGCTTGCAGATATCACAGGTCTGCACATAATATACAATTATTCTAGGCAGTAAATGCCATATAATGAAATGCAGAATACTTTACAGAATTTAGTGCTATTATTTTATTCACCCATACAAAACATAAGGAACCCATTCTCTTTCCTGACAGATGGATTTCAGAGGAGACGTTTCAGCTCAGAACAATAATTGTGGCCAAGCATAACTCTCTGCACTTGGTGGGGTTTAATGGACTTTTCTTTCCAGTCCTCAAAAAGCAGCAACTGGCATTTGCCTGAGCCCTGACTGAGGTGTGGAAAATCCGTCAAGTTCTCTCTGCCGCTTACCCTGACCACAATGATACGGTCCATGCGCAGATTAGCTGCAAAGTCATTCCTCCTCCAGGAGTGACAAGATCTCCCCAAGTAAAAAAAAGGTGCCTACTGTATCCTTGAGTGCCCGTCTGCACTAGAAAGGCAGGGGTGGTGGGGGGAGGATGTAAGGAGTATGGAGAGAAATGCCTTCAAAAGAAGGGCGTAACAACGGAAAAAGTAGCTGTAACAGAGTGGTGACATGGCAAGAACAGAGAGCGGCATTGTCACGGATGGAGTAATCCTGTGACACACTGCTGTCACTCACCACCCGGCTCCCTGCCGTGCCAGCCAGACATCAAAGGCTGCCCCATACCATCTTACATGCTCTTTATCGGCTAATCAGCCCATTCTTCCCTAAATAAAGCCCTGTTAAATCCCCTGCTCACAGGGGTACAGTGGTCTTGGTGCCCATCTGCTAGTGAGGGTCAGCTGAAGCAGGAGGCGGCGGGCTGCTCTCTCCCTAGTGGCTTCTCAAGGTAAGGACAATGCTGTCTCCAAGTCCCCCTCCCAACCACCTCCCTGCTTTGCTTTCCAGGAGCTGGGTGGGAGCTGAGGACGGCCTGGTCTGAAGAGCTGCTATCTGGATTAACACTTGCTAATGAAATTTCCAGTCATAACGGTAGATCATCTGCTAACAAAATATTGGGACTATGTCTACTTTCAGGAAGAAAATAGATACTATGTGTTTCTTATCAGTAAGCCTCTGGCAGGTCTAGTCTTACATCCTCAAAGTGTCAACATTTTAAAGATGGTGACAGGGGAGTCAGGCCTCCAATTACGAGGTCACTCTTCGATGCTGACTGGGAAGCCTCATGGTTTCTTACATACACACTCAAAATCAAAGGTAAGATGTGCAGATACCAGCAACACCAAATCTAAAGACAGGAACTCCCCTCAGGAGCAATGGGAGTAGAGCTGAGGCATCTTCTCCCTCTGGGAGAAGGACCTGGCTCTAGCAGAGGGTGGCAGAAAAGTCTCCTGGCTGCAGCCCTGTACCTCAAAACTGCCTGGAAGACACCAAAGCGGATGTGCCCACTCCTGTCTAGGCTGTATGACAGCTGCAAAATTATGGAGAAATAATTTATACCTACCGCACAGAATTACTGGAGCACTGTCCTAGAGGAGAGGTATTCATGTAAGAAGAAAAATCAAGCACCTTACAAATTCCAAAACTGGAACTAGAATTAGGCAATACTACGTCTATTACAAAGAGTCTTGTAGATGCCAAATGGAGCACTGTCCTAGAGGAGAGGTATTCATGTAAGAAGAAAAATCAAGCACCTTACAAATTACAAAACTGGAACTAGAATTAGGCAATACTACGTCTATTACAAAGAGTCTTGTAGATGCCAAATCCCCAGACAGCAGATCAAGTTGGATGTTCCTGAATCTTAACACATCTGCTTTCCAGCTCTGTCCTGGGAGCATTGCCTGTATGGCCGGTTCCAGAGGCATAAACTATTACCTAATTTTGATTCTCAAAACAATCTTGTGAAGTAACTAAGAACGTGGATTTTCTTCTCTCTTTTGTAGTTGAGGAAACTGAGACTCTGAGACACTAAGAAAAAATATGGTTCAAAACTCACATCAGAACAGAGCTGGAACTTAAATCCAAGTTCCCCGACTCCAAGACCAACAGTCACTTCCCTACACAGGGCTGCCACAACAGGCCAGAGAAACCGGGCCCTGACAAGGCTGATGGAGCAGTTGACACTCCTTGGTGAATCAGTACACCAGACATCGCATGGGAGCGTGTGGCCAACTGTGGTACTGACTACAGATTCTCCAAGTCAGGGCAGATATACTCTGGCATCTGTAATTAATGTGCCAAAAGATGGAAATACAATGCAAAATAATGGTACAGAGCATTCCAGGATTCACACTGAAATCAGGGCAAGGGAAAGCAGTCTTTGTGCCCCCAAACACTTGTTCAATGTGTCCTCCCCAGTCCCAGGCTGCAAAAGCAATCGTGGCCATTACCCTAAATTTCTCTACAAGAGCAGCTTATGGTGCCTTGGGTGCTCTAGCTCCCGCGAGTGGCTGGATCTGCTCCTGAAAGAACACCATGTCTTTGAGGAGAGAAAGAAGACCCTTACAAATGTAGTTTGCTGAGGAAAATTGCTTCAGCGCTGTGAAGATGGACTCAGAGCCCTCCCTCTGACCCTTGTCTCACTAGGACACTCAGCTCAGGAGGCACTTCTCAGCACTGGGGAGTGATGCGCGCTGTTGTGCAAAAGCTCAGCTGCTTGGAGATCTGCCTTCAGCAGCTCCTGGATTCGGAGGCTCAGGCTCTCCTCAGGGCTCATCGCATGGAACGCACCAGGAGTCTTCTACAGATCTCAGATGCTTCCCAGGGGGACCACAGTGCACCTGGAGCTCTGACTGTAGCAAGTCACCGAGTTACTACACTGGTGGAGAGTGAAAGCAACCCAACACATTGGTCTTGCTGCTCCAGTGGTTCCCACTACATGTGGGCCCAATGGGAGACACCACTGAATTTCTACACATTTAGGTATTTTCCCTCTTGTTCCAAGTGCTTAATTGATAGAATGGTGGATACTGGTGACAATTAGCCTCTTGATAGAATGGTGGATACTGGTGACAATTTACCGCAAAAACCAAAGATGGAAGAGCTGACATTGAGCACACCAGCCCCGTTTCATTTCACTGCTGCTAACCTGAACGGAGGGCCGGCCCGGTGGCGCACTGCTACAGTGCGCCGCTTGGGAAGCGTGGTGGCGCTCCCGCCGAGGGTTTGGATCCCACATACAGACCGGCCGCCCACTGGCTGAGTGAGGTGCGGGAGCAACACCGAGGGTTGCGATCCCGTAGCCGGTCCCGGTCCAGTACGGGCGCGACACTGAGTGTTGCGATCCGTTGCTGGGCACGAAAAAAAGACAAAAAGGAAAAAAAAAAATAACCTGAACGGAGCTCTCTACACCCATCTGCCTTTCAGCCATTTGTCACCAGACAAGCTCATCTTACCTTTTCAGTTTTGCTTTCCTCTTCTTTACAGCTGAGACACTAAGATTTTGGGGGGCATCCCTTAGCCCAAAGCTCTTAGCCACATGCCCAAGGTGGAGGGATCGGACATGGAAGATGGGCTTCAACTCCCTGGGGTAGGTGGCGTAGGCTCGGATGAAGGACTGCAGAGCTGAAAGAAAAAACGAAGGTAGGGGATTGTCAGGACTGGGGCCTGAAAGTCCCAAGCCTGCTGTTATCCTCTGTACTTTATCTTGCCAGGCAACAGGAGCACAGCTAGGACAGCTACACCGTACACAACTGAAATCCATACTTCCATGTATTTTTAAGATTCCTAACAACAAAAAATTAAAGGTCACAATTATCACTTGAATAAACCCTATAAAATTCCAGATCTTACTGCAGACCTTATAACAATCCAACAAGACAGGGCCCTGTTTTCTTCTTCATCACAGTCTTGGGGGCTAGCATGTACATGGTACACAGCAGGCAATTAATAATTGTTGGTGCATAAATGAATGAAAGAATGAGTGAATAACAGAGGACATCATGTTCTTATAAAAATGAAGAAATGGGCCGGCCCGGTGGCGCACTGGATAGTGCGCCGCTTGGGAAGCGCGGCGGCGCTCCCGTCCGAGGGTTCGGATCCCACATACAGACCGGCTCCCGCTCACTGGCTGAGCGAGGCACGGGAGCAACACCGAGGCTTGCAATCCCGTTGCCGGTCCCCGGTCCGGTCCGGGGCCAACACTGAGGGTTGCGATCCGTTGCCGGGCACGGAAAAAAGACAAAAAAAAAAAAAAATGAAGAAATCATCAAACATTTAGTATTAGAAAAAAAATTTCCTAATTAAATTTTAGTCATTTTTTGAATAGTTAATGCATGCAAGTGTTACAAAATCCAAAAAGTTCAAAAGGCTTTATTATGACTGTCATTATGTTTACTATGAATGAATGACATTGCTATAAATGTACCCTCCAACTCCAGCTCCCCCATCCACAGTCACTGATACCAGTTCTTTGTGTACTCATGGGATTTTAAAACCAAGTTCATTTAAAAAGAATCCAGGATTGACCAATACGGTGCTTCTTATCCATTCAAAGAATGCAAAAAAAAAAAAAAAAAAAAAAAAAAAAAAGATAAAAGAATTAAGGAGAAAGAAAACTATTAAATATCTAAAATAGTCCATGAAATGATTCACCCTGTGAGGACTGCTGACAGTTTAGTGAAGTTTATCAAACATTTCATCAGGAAAGTTTCAGTCCCATTTTAAAGTTAAGGAAAAGGGGTCCTTGTTCTAGATCCCAGCTCTAGCCAGAGAAGAGCCAGATACAGTTACCAGGAGGCTGGAGGACTGGCTATGCCTTAACTAGGCATTCCTTTGAGGAAAGATTTTCCTATACTTGGTTCCCCTTTGAATATCTTGTAGTAACAGTGAAAATCAAGGGTCTGCCTTCTTCTCATTCCAACAGGGAAGGAGGGGACTGTTCTGAAAAGTGCTCCCTGTCCCCAGCATTGCTCTCTTTACTTCCAAGCCCTGCTCTTGTGCCAGCCAAACCAGAGCCTAGTCCTGTACTGTCTGATGGAGGAGGCACTAGCTACCAGCCTCCCTTACCCTTGCTTGTTGAGCCACTGGACTGGCAAGTTTGCCCACAGCTTAAACGTAATATCCCAGCAGCACCTGGAGATTGGCATTTATGAACAGTAATAAAAAGTGTCATTTTAGCAGATCAGCTCCTGGAAGGATCCTGGGAATCCATCAAAGCTCTATTTACTGAGCAAAGTGAACTCCTTTTCCCAATCGATGAGAAATAATAACCAAGGCAACTCCTCTGCATCCCTCTTTTAAATCTATGCTTACTCCCCTTTTTAATAACCGGGACTAGCTTTTTCAAAGAAAATCTTAACACTTCAAATGGGCTATACTGTTTGGAGGGTCTGACACCAGGCTCCTAGACACAGAGCTACAAATAACCAAGGCAACTCCTCTGCATCCCTCTTTTAAATCTATGCTTACTCCCCTTTTTAATATCCGGGACTAGCTTTTTCAAAGAAAATCTTAACACTTCAAATGGGCTATACTGTTTGGAGGGTCTGACACCAGGCTCCTAGACACAGAGCTACAGACTCAAACCCTCAGAGAGAAATGCTGTACAACTACAATGACCCAGGAGATCAGAACCTCTTCTCCTCTGCCTCCTTTTCTTTCCCCAACCCCCAACACTGACTGACTCTGGTCTGCAAAAACCAGACTGAAACCAAGCCAAGCCAATTAAACCAAGAGTCTATGCTTTTAAAACCTCAGTTACCCAAATCCTGGCCCAGGTTTCCCTGTCATTGAGATGAGCCCCCCGGCTCCTGCCCTGCTCACCGCTCTTCTCCTTTTCTACACCAATCCTAGGAGCTGAGCACTGAGAGCGCCTGTCCCAGGAGACATAGGTGCCCAGCTCACAGCTTTACAGGGATAATGAGTTTGCCAAGAAGTGGCAGGAAGCGCTTTCTCGCCAGACAACTGGTCAGGCAGTCTTTCGCACTGCATATTTTCACTAGACCTCCTTGTCCTCAAGGCTCTTGTCTCACTGGGGACAGCAACAGTTGGTTGTCCTCACATACTTGCACGGACTCCCATGTTTAGACAATTCAGATGCAGCAGCAGCTGTCTGTAGGACTTCCAAGGGGCAGGGAGTGGTTCATGTTGGCAGTCTCTAGAATGCGCAGAAGGAATAGGGGCTGTGGGACCAACACAAGCGGGAAGTAGAGAAATAATGTAAGTGGACATTTATTTCGGGTGACGGAGGGAACTACAGGCAATTAGAGCTGAGTACTCTGCAACTGATGATTCCTATTTCTAGCCAACAATTTAAGGTGCATGAATTAAGGGAAACCTATTTTAAAATATCCCTCATGCACATTTGTCCTTTTTCATTCTTGGACATCTGGATTAGGAATAGTCGTATCTTATGGATGACTTTTACGATTAAGGAGGTAGAAAGGAACAAAACTCCATCCTGGAAAGTGAAGATAATCCTTGCTCCTCCCAGTCCCCTCACCCCCACAAGAGCACCCTTCTGTACAGAGTAAAGGTACATATACCTTCCTACCTGACAACCAACAGTGACAAATCCTGAAAGGATGTAGAAAGGAGGTGCCTTGTCTCTTAAAGATAAAGCATTTGGCAAAGTGCCAGCCTACCTCTGATCCCACTGAGGGAAGAAGTATGATTTGTCATCACTGGTATGGGTTTTCTGGACTTTGAGAAGCACCTCTTCCAAGCACAGGCATAAATCCTGCACATGGACTTCCTACTCTTCAGGGAGACCTGAAGATGGAGAAGATTAAACCATAGAAGCAATGGTCATTTGCAGGCAAAGGACTCCGTTTTCCCAAATTTTCGTTTGGGAGTCTGGAATTTAAACTTACCTTACCACTATTTTTACAACTTGAATCCCTAGCTAAACCATGCAAGATATAAAAGAAAAAAGGGGTAACTGCTTCTGGAAACTGGCAACAATTAAATGCTGGTTATTAACGACTGGGTCAGAAAATGCAAAAGGAAAACAAATGCATACTTGGCCCAGTTTCCAACCAGTTTTCTGCCATAAAGGCAAAAGCCAGCTGCTTTGTTAATTATTCATGAGGTGGGTTCTGAAATGGCATAAAAGGGAAACAAGTCAGTGGTGGGGAATTTGCATATGCAGATAGAAATGCAAAACATACTATCAATTTATGGGGTATAGTGATTGTTCCTATGTTGTATATTTAATACTTTCAGGGTGACAAACATGTACATATTCTTCCAAACATCCAGAATTCACAATCCTAAGTAACAAGGGAGAAAAGAATACTGGAGAGGCTTTATGTCTGAAATGGGATGACTGAGAATTACAATAGGTGGTTCTGCCCTAGCCCTTTATCAATCCGATGTGGAAATCAATTAGCAAATAAGAGAAATGACATATTTATTCCCTTTGTGGTACATAAATATTGGGGAGTGGCCCTGCTCCAATATCCTTTAAATAGAAGATGAGTAACTCTGCTGTTTCTTGGTATTAACAAGTTCAAGGGTGGCGATGATGAGAGAAAACCCAATACCACATTCTCTAAGGATCACTCACTGTAACTTTCACTCTGATGACCCAGACACCTTGAAATAGTTGTAGTTTGGCCAAAATACCCAAAACACCATTGACACCAAAACTGAAGCTGACAGTGTGGGCTTATTTCTTTTTACGGCACCTTTGTTATTAGCCCTGACATTCAGCAGCATGGCAGTTGTATATTGCAGGCCAGCTGAATCTGCCTAACTTTCATCGAAGGTCTCAACTCTGTGAAGTTACACTGTGACAAATATTCTATTCCTCTTGAGAGACATATTCCAGTACTTCTCTAGAGGTAGGTTCTTAGGAAAACCCTTACGAATTACGAATTCACTTTAGGATAATGCTAAGGCAGGCACTATTAGAGAACAGTCTAGAAGGACATACACTATGTTATCAGTGGTAACAGTGCTGGGGCTTCATCTTTGTGCAGTTCTGATTTGAGTTTTATGACAACTGAGGAATGCTTTTATAATGTGCTAAAGGTATATAATAGGTACTTGAAAATATTTGCTGACTATCTGGTTTTACCATCTACTTCCTGACGACCGCGATTGCTTTCACCCTCGCCCCCTAGAGTCTATTCTCACACACCAGGCAGGTGACCATCTTCACACCTATGTCAGATCATACCGCATCTCTACTCAAAGCCCTCTGACAGCTCTCCTTCACTCAGGGTAAAACCCAAAGTCCTCCCGACAGCCTGCAAGCCCTAAGTGACTGTGCCTCAAGCACCCCTTCCCCCTTTCACCACAGGGCGTTCCCACTGCCTGTCAAACCCTTCCCGCAGAGCCACTGGGCTCCCCCTGCTGCGGGTTCTTGCTCAAGTACCCCCTTGACAAGGAGGCTCGTGCGACTCCCTATTTGAAATGCTCTCTTCCCTGTCACCCCACTCATCTCCCTTATCCTGCTCTATTGTTTTCATAGCTCTTATTACCTTTATCAGACTATTTCATTTACTTATTATGCTTATTATGCTCATTGTCTGCCGCCCTTGCCCTCCACTAATATGTCTCCTTCACAAAGGTGAGTGTCATCTGTTTTGATCCTTCATGTGTATCCCAAGCACCTAGAGCAGTGCCCAATTCAACAACTACTTGTTGAATGAATGATTTTAAAAATAAGATATTTCTATTTATAAAAAGAAGGATGCTATAGTGGTCCTATATTGGCAAGCCAGCCTGGCAATTTCTCAAAAACTAACAGAAAGAACTGTGGATCCTCCAGCATGGAATGAGTCTCATTAGCACATGAGTCAGTCATTAGCCAAGACATTCCACTATAAGAAAATATCAGCTATTAAAAGCCTCCTTCTCCCTGTGCAGTGCTCACTGCTCAGAGTGAACCGTTAAGTCCACCTAATGCCTGGTGATCCCAGGGGTCAATTTATCCTACAAAGGGTCTGAATACTAAATTAATACCTAACTCTTTTATAAATTTCCTAGGAATTGGGTTCATGGTTTACGGCCCATTCTTTGCACTGTTCTTTCTCATTTTTCTTTGCATCTTCAAGTAGGAACTGCTTAGGTCTAACATTTCTAGCCCCTACCTTCATCTCTAATTTCCATCTCTACCACTATTTCTACTGACATGTTGTATCTCTTCTACCTGGTTCTCAAAGAGAGAAAAACAGATTCCTAAGATACAAGTTGTTGGGTCAAAGCCCTAGTCCTGATGTAAGCTAAGATAAAGCCTCATTTGTGCAAAACATGGGGAAGGATGAAATTAACATTTAATATCACTTTAAAGCCTTCCGTGCCTGCTTCCAAACCCTGCAGAATTACAGAGATTGAAAGCTTTTGCTGGTGAGTAGAGATCCCCAGTTGGCCTCTCAACCCATTTGGGGGGTATGCACATGAAGGAGGGGGACAGGGCTCTTTTGGGCTATCCATTCCACAATCACACAAGAAATCAACTGACCTTTCTTTGCCCAGGAGACCCTCCTCTCACTGGAGTGCACATAATCTTCAAATACTGACTGCAAGACCGTGGCTCGCTCTCGGATTTCCTGGGGACCAACAGCGTGGGATTTCTGAGAGGGTGACGGAAGGATTAAAGGAGAGACAGAGTCAGAGTCAGGAATAATGAAGCAGTTTATAATAGATTTAATAACAGTAAAATCACACAGTAACCACCTAGGGGCCAACAAGGGTAATCCTTTCAATATTACTAGGGAAAAAAAGGGAGCTATAAAGATGTTAAGTCAAGCAAAGATGAGGCTGGCTTTGTGAGGTAGCAGATCAGGTCTATTTATTTATTTACTTATTTGTTCACTTTCTTCCCTGACCTTTTATCACTGATGTTCAAAATGAAACACCACTGGAGACAATCTGGAATTTCCCAAGTTCAATTCAGGCATTTAAAACATCATTGATTGTAAGTTATTTTCAAATGAATCTTGTGTCCCCTACAAATCCTCCCCCTGCCCTTACAATCATGAGTGGAACACTGACAATTCCTCTTCAAGAGCACTCCACAGTGACCTGCCTAAAATGCAGCCTTAAAAAGTCATTCCTGTCCTTGCATTTCTAGAGCATGCTCCCTCAACTCCTAGAGCAGGTCAGACTTTCAGTGTTTCAGATTCATTCCTTCAGCCTGTAACTACTATGCTGAGTGCCCAGGAACCTATTAAGGAGTGTGCTGTCCAGCAAACCACATTCAAAGACTGCCTCAATCTTTGCAGCAAACTGTCCTTCTGTAAGAAGCAACATCTACATGTACTGGAAGGCCCCACAGGTGGGGAATGTTAATAATACATAAAATTATTTTCTTCTCATCCTTTAACAGTCCTAGAGAAAAGATTTCTGTTTTAATATCCTCACTAAAAACTAGTTTTTGATTCTGGTATCTTAAAACAAACATGAATGCTTTCTACTGAGTGGGAAAATGAGGTCCAAAAGAACACAGATTCCCCAACGCATCGAGGTTATTCTACGCCAAATGATGCTGATTATCTGAGCGGTGCTATTAGGCCTCTACCTCCACCCTCCACCCACCCCTCCAGGAGGACCAGCAGGGAAAACCCCACGTGAGACCCAGGTCACGCTTCTTAACCTTCAGAGGACAGGGTGTGGGTGCCTGTCTGGCCTAACCTCGACTCCCCAACCATCTTTTTCACTTTTAAGGATGTCAGAGGAAGACAAAGGGGAGAGAAGAAAAAGCCTTATTCTTGGGATCGACATTCATCTTTGTATTAATAGAGACTTAACAACCTGAAAATGTTTTCAGTTTAGTCAAATCCTTCCTGCTACCTGTTTGGTTGATGACAGTCTAGCTGATTTCACAGTACATGGTCCCCCTAAGGGTTCTATCTGCTAAAGTGTCAGGAGAAAAGTCACTCAGGAGCTGTGTTACGAAAGTGGACATTTGCTATTGTCATTAACAAGGATTTTTTTTTACCCTCTTAACTGATGTGAAATGCAAACTTTTCCTGCTGCCCTCCATTCGTTAAGCCACCTCAGCAGTGCAATTGTCTGTCACCTTCCTTGCATTTTTTTTTTTTTAATATGAATGTGAAATTAGCGAAGATGCCCTTTCCCCTGGCGGACAGAATCCTCTGTTATTAAAAAGTAAAGCACTTTAATAATGAAAACTTTTTCCTCTTTTTCCTGTGTTTTAACTGTTTAAAATTAATGAGAAGGGCAGAATGGTTGTCAAAGCGATATTGAAAGCCGGGCAGCCAGGACCGAATAAGCACAAAAATCCCTCTAGAGTGTTAAATAAACAGAGCTCCAGCCCTCTCCGAATCCCTCTGTTGGTTATTGTATACATTCTGTAACAGCTCTCAGAATAGATCTGAGAGCCAGGGAGGCAGAGAGGTTTCAGAATTCCAATAAAGGCCTCAAATTAAAGACAGCCTGGTGCGAATTCCAGGAGAAAATTAAAGAGACCTCAAGCTTAAGTGACAGGTGACTTGCTTCTGTGTCACAACTGTCAGGGGATTTAGTGATAATATGGCAATATATTACAAAGGGCTTTTCTTATTCCCCCCTTTAGGTTTCAAAATGAGGCGTCTTTTCTTCCCAACAAAAAAAAAAATCACATATATATAATGTGAGTGTATATTCAAGTGAAATATGTAGAAAAAATGGTAAAACTAGGTTCACATGTTTGAAATGATGAGGTCAGTTTTAGGAAAATATAAGAAAAAGTTAATGGCAGAAACACAATATACTTTGGAAAAAGCATGTCTCACTCCTCCCTACCTCCCACTTCCAGAAATACTTCATTTTAAAACTGCCCCTCTTGAGAATGAGTGAGGTGTTTTTCAGTTGTCTTCTGGGGAGGACAGTCTAAATTTAAACTGAAGACAGAGGGGGCAGGTTAGGTAGCACCATCTCAGCCCCAGACAGGTACAATGCTCCTATAATGAGATTGGGTCAAACCCCTGAGGGCACACGGATATCTGGCAGGACCGACTCGCCCACCCTCAAAGACACAAATTCAGTACTGGTTAATGAAGCTAACCTGCAACTAATGGACCACGGGTAGTTTAGAAAAACACATTTCCAACGGCCTATCTTTACTCACTGTGCCTTTGTCTCTAATACCCTACTGATCCCGGAAAGAACAGACCATCAAAAAGGATGAGCAAGAGGCTCTGATCTTATTTTAACGTCTCACAATGCCAGTGACAGTTTCTTTGTTAGGATAAGTTTATGGGCACATTTCATAGAACAAAAAAACCTGTAGGAAAACATGCTTGGTTGTGTGTACACTTTGATGATAAAAATTTCACACCTATCAAGAAGCAACAGATGAATCTAAGGTAAGTAGGCTGGACTATTTTTGTTGTAAAAGGTTTTGAGGGGTAGCAGTGCTGGGGGAAGATGTGAGGGTATGGGCGGGTGTGTGTGTTGGGAAGCATGTGCCTTGATATGGCCTATTTCCAAGATATTTTTAAATGAAATGGAAGGATTTTGTTTTAATCACTTTATTGCCAAGCTGAATTTTACCCCCATGGTCCCTAGAACCTTCTGAATGCTTCCCAGTAAAGTTGAAAGATCAAATTTATTCTCTTTGTAGGTGGGTGAACATTCATGCACCCAGACATAGCAATATATATTTTATATACCTAAATATGAAATATACATTTTACAGATGCTTCCCTCTCTTTCTTTCTGTTCACAGAAGCCCAAAAATGTATGTGGTGTGCCAAAGGGACATTTACAATGGACTTCAATCAAGCTGGGTGAAGAAGAGGGGTAGCACTGTAATGAGGTGTCTGGCTGTATGCAGCCATAAGGTCTATCTATTGAATCTACATTTACATGCCTAGCATTTGTTCATATGCTAGAGGAGTGCCCAAATTGACAACAGCAATTAAGACATACTGCATTTCTTATGCAAAATAGAATTAAAAGATGTATCCAGTATCTACCTTTTTCTTTTTAATATTGACATGGATCACACACATAAAATACTCTCAGGCTGTATATCTATGTAACAATTAGCAATATAGTCAATTCAGTTTAGTTTTTCTTTTTCCTTTGAATTAAAGTTAAATTTGGTCCAACAAGTCGGGTCTTTATTGACATGACACCTAGAACCTAGTATGATTAATTTAGTTTTGTAAGTTAACCAGTTATATCAGTGTCAGTAAAAGCCCAACCTTGCTCAGCACTTTTTCTTTTTTAAAAACAAAGATTACCAAATCTTAAAAATATCAAAGCATTCAATTCCTTCCTGTCCATCAAGGACAGGAGCTGGGCTGAGAGGATAAGACTGAGTCTCTGGCCCCAAGAACTTACACAGCCCAGAGCTGAGCAGAGCACTGTACACCTCATTCTATTTAAGCCTCACAGCAACCCGAGGAGATGGGTGATGGTGTTCTCATTTGACAGAGGGAAAACCGAGGCCAGCGAGAAGATAACCTGCCCAAGGTTGCAGAGCCACGAGCTGTGCAGTAAGGATTCAAACCCATGTCTGTCTGACTCTGGGACCCAGCTCTTACCCATGGACTTACGATGGTCCCTCAAGTGTCAGAAAGTCTTCCAGCCTGGCTTCAAGCCAGCAAAAAGGCTTAAGGAGGAGAACTGATACAGCAAGGCCACAGAAGGGCAGGTGTTAAAAAAAAAAAAAAAAGACTGTGGCTTGCTGCTGAAAGAGCAGAGGGAAATGCAGCTGCTCTGCTCCTTCTTTGGGGACACGTCCTTCAGGAGGGGCTTACTGCCCTTCCACAGCTTCCCTGAGCTGCGCAGATGAACACAATGACCAACTCCCCGGAGAGAAATGATCTGTGCTCAGGGATAAAGACTGACACCAGAGCTGGTCCCAGAAACAGTATATGTAAGACTAGGTTTGATCAAACTTTTACTATCTCATTTTGCAGTATTACTGCTTGCTCTCATTTCTCGAGAGCAGGCAGATGCTAATGTTCCACTTATTATGATATAGCAAAAAAAAGCACTAGGATCCATGTCCCTGAGTCTGGGCTTTAATTCCACATCTGTTACTAACTTATGTGACTACAATGACAATAATAATAGCAATAATAGTAATAAATACCATTTGGTACTGTGCATTATACTTGGGGCTTTAGCACTATTTTTCACACAACCCTCCAACCTCCTTAGAAGAAGAATACTATTATTATCTCAATTTTACACATGAAGAAACTGAGGTTTAGAAAGGCCTAGTATTTGCCCAAAGTCACAAAGCTGGCAAGTGACAGATTAAGAATCTGATTCTACTACATTGCCTCTTCAAACAGTTTGGGTATTCCCTGTTGATCCCATGGAGCTCTCTTAGAGTCATAAGGGAGTATCTGTGCGAACATTAAAAAACAAACAAAAAAACCCTACTTAACTTGAATTTGTAGTAGTTCCAGAAGAAAAGAAATGCGCCAAGACCAATGAATATCTGCTGGGTTACTGGTCAATTCCTTTGACAACAAACTATTAATAAGGAATGTCTAATGTATTAATAAGGGATGTCCAAAGTCTAGTGTGCCTGGGATGTTTCACATGAAATATTGCTTAAAATAATGTGTTGATCAATTGAGTCTTTAATAGCATTTTTGTTCATAGGGATCTTTGTTGTACCATTTATTGACCGAATTTCACCTCTATGAAAATAGCTAAAGCTATCTAATTTAAAAAGCAACTCTGTTCCATTTTCTTGCTTTAGTTAATACTAATGGAGACATACTGGTATACAGTTAAATATTTGTACGTGTCCTTCAAAGTTAGATTGCCTGATTTCAAATCCCAGAAGGAATGACGACTGATAGTGTGCTCTTGTGAGAGCTCCTTAACCTCTCTAGATCTCAGTTTCCTCACCTATAGACTGGCGCATTATCTACCTTAAAGAGTTGCTAGGAGGATTAAATGGTATCATGCATGTAAAGAGCTTAGCATAGTCCCAGGTCCAGAATACGCACATGGGTAATGGACATTATGATTATTTCTTCTCCTTTCCTTAGTGCTCTCTAGAACAACAGAACTTATGCCAGACTCAGTTAGATATAGTCCCTGCCTCAGGGAGTACATCAATGCAAATAAAGAAACACACTAAAGCATAAAAGAAACTCTTAAGCATGATATCAATCCAAATAAAACATACTAAAGCATAAAAGAAACTCTTAAGCATGATCTTTTTGGATGTGATTTTCCAGTCTATCCTCAGGCATAAGAAAACAAATGTAAAATATTCAAATAATTAATATTTCATAGACAAAATTCATACAGCACCACTAAACACACACACACACACACACACGTGTGATATACTGAGTAGTGGGTTGGAGTGGGTGGGGAAACAGTTGCCTAGCAGGGCTAAAGCTTTGGAAAAGCAGGAAAGGATGTTCAGGGCTGTCTGCAACTGTTCACAATCTCCATATGGAACTGCATGGATAAGAAAAACTTTTCTTCTTAATGATCTCAACTTTACTCTTTCTCTGTGGATAGCACACACATATTAAAAATGGATGAACTAAGTGTGTCTGAAAGGAGACACAGGGATATATATTTTTTCCATGCTGTCTTGGACAGACAGATCTAGTCAGTCGTCCTTGCTGATAATCTGGAGAGGGAGCACCAGGGCTGCGTGTGTGACACTGCCTCCGGTTCATTCTGGCCTAGACCTTCCTTCTGGGGAGCCTGCTGCTGTCTGGCAGACTTCCAGAATGGACTGTAGCCCATTAACTGGATGAGACCAGCAAACACATCAGAAGCAAAGAAGTGAAAAAAAACAACCCCCCCCCCAAAAAAAAAACCAATCAAGATTTGGCCTCATCTAATGCTCACAGTCCTCAAAATACATGTTTTTTTTTGACAGAGGAAATAACTAATCCATACACAAAGTCTCTATCATACCAAATCAAGAAATGAGTCACGTCCATTAGCAGAAAGCACAATAAATAATAAAACTCACCTGGTTTTCCCACTGTCTTCGTTTAAAACAATCATCCTTTGTCAGAACAGACAAAATATCTTCCATCTTAATCTCAGAAATGCTGTAAAAGGAAGGGCATATCAAGGTAAACTTTTTATTCTTCCAAAAGCACGCAAAATCATGATGCATAAAACCAGCCTTTTGTCAAGCTAATCAGACATAAAGCCAAAGTGACATCTTCCCAGGAAAGGGTATTCTCCTAAATCCTTAGGAATGTGGAAGGAAGGGGCCCTCTATGATACACAGGGACAGATAGGGTAGTATTCCCAACAATTCCTTTCCTCCCTGGTCAACTGAAAATAGATTACACTTAGAATTTCCTTGAGAGGGATCGTGTCACTATTTCTTAACAAATCTTGAGTACTAAACAAGTAGGCCCGCTTACTGATACACCACTACCTTGACTTGAACAGATGATGATGAAATAAAAAACATTTCAGATAGTCTCTTCAGTTTCATACTTAAAAAAAAAAGGGAAAGAAAAAAGGTGGCCAAAGGTCCTCAGCTATTGGAGTAATAAACGTTCCAGTGAAGATTAACAAGTAGAGCCAGAGCTGCCATCCATGCACCTCTGCTCCCTTCTTCCACCCTGGAAGATCTTTACTATTATCATCTCCTAATCATTATGGGGCAAGGACCAGTGTCCAGTGAATCTAGAGCCACAGGCAAATTGCTGAAACCAGAGTATGGGCTTCACTCATGAACAGAAGCCATCAAGAGCCAGAACAAACAGTCAAACCCGCCTACTGGTGGAGTTTGGAAAGCCTACACTCCATCCAATCATCTGCAAGACCACAGCATTCGAATGTGGGCAGCAGATCCACTTGTGTATTAGGAAGGAAGGAGGAAACATAGAGCTGCTGAAAAGATACATCCCAGGGAGACAGCGAGAGAGAAGAAGTTCTGTGGAAGAAAAAGAGATCATAAAAAGAGAAATTCTGATTCTTTTGTATGTGTTTTTTTTTTTGAAAACATAACAGCAAATTAAAACATGAACAAAAATCTCTTATGTGGGAGAAGACAATTCTCCCTCTTCCCCCCAAGGGTGACTCTGACAAGTCTATGAATGAAAATGTCACATCTCTGACAGGGACTTACCTGAGATGTGTCGTCTCCTCCCTGAACACCCCCAGCCCCCACCCCTCAGCATCCTCTCTCTACTGCCAACCCCCAGCCCTACAGGTAAGTGAAGTCTTTTTACAGCACTAAGAGTCAATGAGGGAAGGCAGAGCATGTGCTGAAAGGGCAGGAGTCAGGGAGTATGCCCAGGACTTCATGGGAAATCTGTGTTTCATACGAGAGAGAAATGTATGGTTATTGAACCTGCCTCTTATTTATTCCTAGAAATCTGAAGGAAGGTGAAGACATAGCCCAGCCTCTTTTTTTTTTTTTTCCTATCTGATTTGCCTCTATTCACCACTGTTTCCTTGAGGAAAAACAGGAGGAAAACCCAAAAGTAAAAGAAACATATGAACTTGGAGTCAAACTTTAAAGCAGGGAGAAAGAAAAAAGAATAATGCCACTCACATTATTATTTTGTTATTTCAGGAATACAAAAACTAAATAAGCCACAGAAAAGCACAGTTTCCTCAAATGCATGCAAATGTTGATATTCTAGCCAGGGCAGGTTGTAGGCAGTGGGTCTGTACAGCAATGCTGGGGAACTAGCTACCCTAAGTGAACAGGAGCTAAGCATGAACTGGAGTGATTTACAGTTTAAAATGGCCTTCTTCCTATTTCTAAGAAATTATTGCTTCTGAGGAACAAAGCAAATCTACTATGATTATTTATGGGTCCATCAACAGATCTGAATCACCCCACCTTAATATGAGAAGAGATAGATAAATAAATTCAGGGAACTGTCTTATGCCTGATCTAAGAAATACACGTTTTGATGAAGCATTTACATTTTAATAAACCAATGATGACTTTCATTAGAAACACATTTAAAGGGGAAGTGGAAAAAAGTTAAGAAGTTGGCAAATACAAAGAAGTCAAAAGGACGTGGAAGCAAAGTTCTGAGCGTTTGGACAGAGGTGGCACCGGCCCAGGGCCCATCTCCCGCTTAGCCTCTGAATTAAATTGTCAGGGTGAGCTCCACGGCACATGGAGGCGGGTGGCAATTTACTGTGATGGCCCTTGCTGTCGAGAGCCTTGGCCTGCCTTCCCGAATCTCCCTTGTAATCCATCAGCCAGCCCAGCACCCTGCTGCCTGGCTCTCATAGTCTCAGGCATAAAACACACACTCACTTCTTCCTCCTCTTTTTGAATATTGAAGGGTGTACTTCTTGGATTCCAAAAATGTTCGAGTCTGCTTCTTCCCACTGCACACTCTTCAACATGCTCTTACTAGATTTTATTTTGTATTACGTTAAGGACACATTCTCTCTATATACAGATCCAATGTACAGCCTTTCCTCAGATGGAACTGGAACAGACAATGCACGGCTGAAACGGCCTAGCCCTGGTTCTGGGATCTGTGCAGGGAGACACCAGCCTACTGTGAGGCAGCAGTGGCGCAGGCCGCGGCCTTGCAGGGCCAGTTTTCGAGGCAGATGCCAGCAGGGTGGACTCAGACAGGACTCCTCCGTCCTCACACAAATGCTCTTATTCTCCCCCAAAAGACCTAAATCTCTTCCTTTCAGTACTTCCCTAGCGTCATCCTTCCCAACGTCCTCTCCAAGGCCAGGTCCCTGGCATGCCAGAATTGTCTCCTTCTAATGCGAATGCCGTGTTGAAGTGCACACGAATGCCCGTACACTGTTTTTCCAAACAAGGCACGACAGGAGATGACCACCATACTGTAACATCCCTCAAATACAGCTGGCTCATTAACAGTCCATGCCTATGCTAACTACTGTTTTCCCTTTCGATTTTAGGTTTATATTTCAATCCTTGAGAGCAATTAAGTTGAATGTGTTTATCAAAGAAAACTTAAGAGAGCAGAGAGAGCCAGAGGCACCTATGCTGTTAGCTCTGGCGTCAGACAACTGTCATTTGACCTGGCGACTGCAGTTGCTCGGTTTTCCAAGGAGATCACATCGAAGTGAGTGGGCATGGGAGCGCATCCAGAGAGCTGCCAGCAGGAAGGAATGCGAGGAAGTGAATTTTAGGTCTGGGATGGGAGGAGGAGAAAGAGGAGTCACGGTGCAGTTGACAGGCTGCTAAGTGCAGCGACTACATTTTCTACAGGGAGGCCAAAACACAAAATTCTGAAATTTTCCTATCCGTTAACCAATTCCTGTGATTGAGAAAACAGCGACAGCCTGTGGCGGGCTCCCAGCCTGTGAGAGCAGGTGAGGGAGAGGAGCCACTCTGGACGGCTTGCGTGTCAACCTCCCAGCATCTTCGAGCATGCATGCCCGGTAGGGTGCTGGCCTAGATGCTGAAAGGGCCACAGAGACGCACCAGCCTCCAGCCTCAGGGAACCCAGAATCCAGCTGGAGAAGCAGCTTGGGGTGAAAAGTGATCCACTGAGCTATAAGACTTCTCTCACAAAGAAGATAAAACATGTACACCTTCCTGAAACAAATAAAAACCATGCTTTCAACTGACAGACTGTATTAACATAAGAACAAATAGAATAAAAGGAAAACATAAACTACCTTTATTCTGGCCTGAAATTATTGCCAGGAGCGTGTTCCTGCCTTCCTCAACACTGAAGAACTTAAGACTCACTTTCCGAATAAGCCTTAGTCCTTTAATGTCCACACTCCTAACCTCGAAAGTTTGGAAAAGTCTTATTAGCATGAGCAGGGGAGTTCTGCAGGGTGGGAACATGGCAGGTATTGTGGGGACAGCCACATACAGCTCGTCCAAGTAGGTGGCTTGCACTTAGTCCTGCTGCCCCCCCGACCAGGCCCCCATGCCATCTGCTGGGACACTTCAGATGTTATTATAATGCAATGATTTTTCCAGCTCTGTGCTTTAAGAGAAAGAAAAAGTCCTGTAGATTTGATGTTTTACATAAAACATAGGGCTGGCAAGGGGAAAAAAAACAAAAAATAAGACTGTCACATTCACTGGCACAGTGCAGAGGCACGCTCACAGCGCAGCATCAGCACAAGTGGCACCTGAGCGGACACTGCTACATCTGTGCTTGGCCTGTATTATGTCCTGCCATTTCGTGTAGACACACGGCTCTTCCAAAAATTCTTTATCCATCACTGTGTTATGTCTGAATAGAAGAAATGCCTTAAAGTAGATCAGTGTGTCAAAAAGCACATGCCTTTAGAAGCCTATTATTATAATTTGCTACTTCAGGTGCCGGAGATGTTATGGAAAACAAAACAAATCCACGTCTGTAAATTATCTCTGCTTACGCTTCCCTGCCATCCTGCTGAGCGTGTCCACCCGGGGCTGGCACCTGGCGCTTCACTCAGGACAGCATGAGGTGTCGCTACTTGACTGTGTCATAGACAAGATGGCGCTGGAAAGTCCTGGTTGCCAACTGCCTCGAACTCTTTCTCCTACCTGGGTTTATTTTCCTGGGGGAGGGGAACTGTATGATGAGTAAAAAGCATTATTTTTACAAAAAGAGAAATCAACTTTGAAGATAACAAAATTTTAACTGCAAAAAATAAAAACTGTGAATATAAAAAGGTCTTCAAGAAGCTGGGTAAGAGGGCTGTGCACACTGAGTTTACAGGGGGAGAAGTGGAACACAGACCTGTATCTCAGAGAAGGAAAATGAAGCGCAACAGACCGCCCTACGACTCAGTCTGGCAATGCAATGGAAACTGTCATGTGCTGACAGCATTGAGGGTTTCAGTTTTTGCCACTGGCTATTCTGGGACTCATTTAGGGATCACAAGGGTTAAAGGCTCTTAGTTAGCTTACAAGGCCCATTCACTGTAAAAAGCGACAGAAAGTTAATTAGGTGAGATCAGCTGAAACCCCGTTCAGGTTTCTGACTCACTTGATTTTGTGAGAAGCCAACGAGTTGACATATTCTGCCTCTGAAGGAGCCAAAATGAGCAGGCTGCTCCCACGGCAGCCAATCCGGGCGGTTCTTCCAATCCGGTGGATGTATTCTGCAGGTGAAGACGGAGCGTTGTACTAAAAAGGGTAACAAAAATGAAGGCATTCATACATCAAAACATTGCCATTAATTGGAAGTGCAATACCCCTCACCTGCCTGCAGGTAACCCAAAAATTAAATCTTGGTGCTATGGTTACCCTAACACAATCACAAGAAGGCACTCAACCCTGAAACTCCTGGCTTCATTGTAAATAACAAGGCTCTGACACACAAATGTGAGCAGTGGCCAAGTTTCAGATAAACGAGACATCTTCTCGTCCCAGTATCTCCTTTTTAATTTTACTTCTCCACAGGTCTCTTCATTTTCCTTTTTGCATCTTTTCACTGAGGTGACTCTGCAAGGTGAAAATGCAGGCAGATGAGGGTAAATTTCTCAGAGTTCACCACATGACCTTGGCCTGCTTCCTTGGTAGACAAAGCAGTGGGGATGAGGCAAGAGGGGTCACTGGAGAGTCTACGGATAAAAGGGGTCGACTGCTCTGCTGGCAGGGTCCATCTCTGCTGCTGGGTCACCAGGAGCAGGCCCCAGGAGCTGGTCCCCATCACCTACCTGCAGTCCCACTCAGTCTCAATAGAGTGGAAACAGGGTAGTTGAGAGGCAGGTACCCTGCAGGTGGGGACATGCTTCTGCTCTCATGGAGCATTCTTGACTCAGGGAGAAGGGCAGACCCTATAACTCAGCAGAATGGACTATGCAAAACATTTTGTTATCTTTAGCAATGACTTTGTCATCATTAAAACTAATTGACCAGTCGACTTCCTTTTTTTTCTTTGTTGCTACAAGAATCAAAGATCAGAGGGCCAAGGTGAACGTAATATATGGGATGCCAGGCATACTAAGCTAATCCATACTCACAATACAAGAGGCTCTAAATGATCGATTTTGTATGCCTGGCCTCCAGCACATTAAAATTATTCTTGCCTTGTCTTTAACTTGCTTGTGACCAGCAGGAAAGAGGACACAATGCCTCTGGTCCCAAAATGATCATCTGTGGAGAGCAGATCAGATTTCCTAGCTAGTGACAAGCACGCAATTCTGCTCGCGTGTGAATAAACCATGACTCACGTAAACAGGGCACGTGTCCCCTGGTCTCCACACAGAAGGTCTTAAAAATACCATTCTGCAGACTAACGAAAAGAAAAAACAAAACTAAAACCACTAGACTCCAGAGCTAACACCTGTACCCTCTGGCAAAGCGTCTAAGGCTAGAGGTATGTGTAAGATGCTGTCAGGAACTTAATTGCTCCCCGCAGGTCAATGTACATGGACATGACTCTCAGGACAGCTGAGCCATCTCCTGCACAGAATGAGGCCTCCCAGGGGCCTGGGTAATTCCTGTTATTTTTCAGATTGTTGAAATTTTGGCTTGTGACATGAATTAGTCTGGGAGCAGGAGAGCCTGCCACCTCCCTCCCATGAGTGCACATTCTGGCTGTTTTGCTGCAGTGGGTAGGTGGTCAGGGTTCAGGAAAGATGTCAGGAGAATAGTGCAGATAAGGCTGGTTTGCTGCCTGCTTACAGGGCAACACCCAAGAGGGTAATAATAATTATTCTACTTAAAGCCAATGCATCTGTTCATGACCATATATTCCTGCCTCAAGCTCACAACTGAACAACTAAGAAATTACCTGAACAATCCAGGTGACATGAGGGAGATCTAAGCCCCGAGCTGCAACGTCCTTCAAAACAGAAAAGAATATGGTTAGGACTGAGTTCCTGAACCTTTTTTGGGTCACGGATACATGTGATAATCTAATGAAAACTCTGAGAGTTCACCCATCCCGTAGTGCATGCACAAGTTTGGGGGGGTGCACGTGGGCATGCACACACACAGATAGGCACGCACCCCCCACGATTCTATGCACAATTTCAGGGGGCTCAGGGACCCGACTAAAGTCCGTCTGTGGTAAAAACTTCTGATTTAGGGGCAAGTTCTACAGAATCCATTGTGAGGCAATCACAACCCACTTTGCTAAATGAACATAATCTGCAGGTTAGCCCAAGAACTTAAATGGTAATTATCAGCTGTGTTATGTAAGAATTCTGAAAATTTCTAGCATGTTTTACTGATTTATATTTTAGCTGAAAAACCACTTTATGATGAATGCATCCATGAATTTATTATCTCCAACCCATACTTATCAGCAATGCCTAACAACAATATGGCTTTGAGGTGTGCTCCTGGGATATTACACCTCAAGGTATTCATCTGTGGAGGTGAGTTGCAAAGTATTTACTGAGGACTTTGCTCATGAGTCTCAGAGAGCAAGAAGGATTGCCCCTTCTGATAGCTACATTAGAATGCAGGCCAACCCATTAATCAATTCAAAGACTTAATAACCAGACAGCTGAAAAACTATAAACAGTACAGATTTATTTTTTTCAACTGGTCACCGCCTAAAAAGCAAACATTCTTTGCTTTCTCTAGTCTTTCATCATTCTGGCAGAGATACTAGAAAATGGGAATCTCCCAGTCTTTAGCAATAAATTTGCACTCAGCATTCATCAAGTGTAAGAGTCCTAACAAGAATATCCCCAGTTGACATTTATTGAGCACTTACTACACACCAGATACCGTGTTGAGCATTTTACCTGCATTATCTTGACTAATAATCAAAATAACTCCTCAAAACAACTTATTACCCCATTTGACAGATGAAGAAACCAAGGTTCAGAGAGGTTAAGTAACTTGTTCAGGGACACACAGCTAAGAAATGAAAGTAACCCTCAAATCTAGGTCTGCTTTACTTTTGCAAGGCCATCTTATATTATACTACACTTTACCATCAAAAAAGATGCTATGTCCCTCATATGCTGCCGGTAGGAATGCAAAATAGTACAACCTCTATGGCAGGGAACTTGGTAGTATCTAGCAAAGTTACAAGTGCGCTTGCCCTTTGACTCAGAGCAATCTCACTCTACAAATGCACCCAAAGATACACTGGCAAAAATACAAAATGATATGTGCATGAAGTTATTCATTTCAGTACTATATATAACTGCAGATCTGGAAAAAACCCAAACACCTACCAGCAGGAGACAGGTTGAATAAAACACGGTAACACTCCACATAACAGAGTATTATACAGTTATAAAAGGAGCCCAGATTTCTACACACTGATATGGAGAATCTCTAGGATGTATTTTGAGTGTGTACAGGATGCGTTTGTGTAAGAAATGGGGGAAATACAAACATATTTGCTCATATTTTAAAAAGAAATAATGGAAGAACCCAAAAGCTTACAAGAAGTTACCTACAGGGCAAGGAAGAGAACAAGAAGGAGTGGACCAGGACAGAAGCTAGACTTCCTTTAATGAACCTTTATACTTTTTGACTCTGAGACCATGTAAACGTTCTGACATAATTAAAAAGATAATCAGCTGTCATGCAATAGGAAATAGAGTATTGCCTATGATGTATTATTACCCAAAAAACCACCCCACACCCAAACCTAGAATCTGAATCTAATCAAGTTCTAGATCCAACTACTAGTTTATAGGAAATATAGGAGAAAAAGGAACATGTTAAATTATACCATGTAGACACAATTAGCCAAATCCAGAATGTGGGGTATTCTAAAAAACAAATGATCAGGTCTATTCAACAAAAAAATTCAAGGAAAATAAAAGGAGCGATAACAAAAACATTAAATTGGAGATAGAGGAATAGATCTATTGATCAACAGATGAATAAAATGAGAACCAATTTGAAGAAGGCTCATGTAAAGCTACTTGACCACGACTATACCAGTTGCCAGGCTCTTTTACCTGCTGGTAATCCTACACCGACTGGGCCAATTGTTGAGCTAAGGCTGGGTCTGGAGCCCACAGACCCCCTCAAGCCCGTTGTCCAGACTGGGTCGCAAACCCTTCACATGCCAGGCTGGGTCCCAGATACCTTCACGCAGGTCTATGAGCTAGGTAACCAGCCAAAAGGTCCTTGGAACCATAGGGTGGAAAGCATGGCTGCACCTGGTGGACACCCAAGGCAAATGCCTGCCAGCCTGCCTCACCAAAGACTTTCTCTCTCTCTCTGAAGAACAGAATAGCAACAAAGCTAATAAGATACCGCACGAAATCCACACACACACACACACACACACACACACACTCTCTCTCTCTCTCTCTCTCTCTCTCTCTCTCTCTCTCTGCTTACAAAGGATGATGAACCACACCCAACTGGACCCAAGGGCCCTGACCAAACTACTCTATTTTCCCAACAGCTCCCCAAACAGTCAACTGTGGTTATTTCTGGACAGAGGGATTTGGGGTGATTTCAACTTTTCTCTCTGTATTTTTCTGTGTTGTTTGCTTTGTTTTTCTTTTAACAAATGCATACCATTTTTCCCAAAATTCTTATTCAGAAAAACTTAGGCCCACAGGAAAGGTGAGACGTGCACAGCAAGCCCCTGTCACCTCTCATCCCTGTAACTCCTCGTCTATAGTCGTCAGGTGCCAGGCTTGGCACATCTGCTTTCTCTTTTTCTCTACACTCAAGTTTTTCTGAACCATCTGAAACTAAGTTGCAAACATCATAACATTTTCAGCCCTAAATACTTTAGCAAGCATCTCCTAAGTAAAAGGACACTCTTCTACATAACTGCAACACCATTATCACACCTAAGAAACTTAATATTGAATAATATTTTCTAATAAACAGTCCATGTTCAAATTTCTCCAACTATACCTATGATGTCTTTTATAGTTGTTTCTCTTTCCCAGTCTAGGATCCAATCATAGACCTTGCACTCTACTGCCCTGCCTCTTTAGACTTCCTTAATCTGGAACAGTACCTCTGCCTTTGAATGATTTATTCAGTTGTTTGATGACTGTCATTTTTGAAGAGCCCAGGTGTCTTAGGAACATCTCACTGCTTCTTCAGTAACGTTCACTTTAGGCATCTGACAGGAATGCGACCTCAGGGTGCTGTGTGCTTCTCTTCCTTTGTAATGCAATCAGTAACTGGGTAGTAAAACTTTGAGACCATGTGAATACTCTGTTTCCTAAAACCTTTTGTTGCCTTGATGGCTGAAAGCAGTGACTTTCTATGCCTTATCATTCCTTCCTTCCATTTCACAGCTGAGTTTCTTCTGTATGTAAAGATAGCTTCCCCCACCACTTCTCTTTTAACTATCACTAAGGATTCATATGGACATAGCTTTTTTGAAAAACAGTAAGTATGCAAAGTTCCTATAAGCAGTAGGCTCCCTGCATCCCCCAGGGTCAGAGGCAAGACTCTGGAAGACACTGTTTCACCCAGAAAGACCACTGAGGGTAGCTCAGGATTTGTCTACCTTCACTCATACCTAAAATTTGCTGGCTTTCTTTGAATGGTGGCTAGACCGCATTTATAAGTGTGTAAGAGAAAGTCTAATATACTAGAAGTGTGTCAAACACCCACAAAGTGTTTTTCAGACAGCTCCCACATGCTCTGAAAGCTGAGGGCAATGTTCCAGAGCTGACGTCTTTGAGAACATAATTTAGAGTGTTCTCTATCTGAAGGGGAGCAGGGACTGCTTTCTGCACCAACCACAGTTGATGTCTTTAAAAAAACTGATGGGTTCTTAAATCTGTTAAGCTCTTGTTGAGAACGCTTTATTTTATTTAAGTGCTCTGCAGTGGGAGATGCATGTAGACAATTGGCTGCCTGAGCTCTACAGACAGGACGTGTAAAAAATTTAACGCTTGTTGGTTTAGTATATTCAACCAGGAAACACAAATAAAACTCTAAAATAGCATAATAGCATAATAGCATATGTCGTTCACGAGACTCACTCTGAGCACAAACAGTGAGTTATAAAGGATGCCAGCAGCCTCTCGTGGTGACTCTTCAAGGTTCTGTTCCCACTTGGGTGACCTAGCACTGGACAACTGACACAACCTTCCTGCCTCCCAGTTCTTCTGGTGTTGGGGGGACCTCATGACAGCCAGCCACTGCCTGCTGCTCTCCTTGTTTTCTCCCACTCAGATTTAACCCAGCCATCTGCTTAGGCACTTCTATCTCCAGCCTAGGCTGCCTCAGAGAATGGGGGAAAGGAACAGTCCTGTCCAGGAGCAGAGAGAAAGGGGCTACTCACTGCACTGTCACTTCGGGAACTTCCTAATCAGGGCAAGTCAATTTGGCTCTCTGAGTCTCAGTTGACTCACCTATAAAATGGCTGCATGAACTGTTCTATTTATCTCATGAGGTTTTGTTGAAGACGGAATGAAAGTGTCTGTGAAAACTGTCTTGAGAACTGTAAATCTAAGTATTCAACCTCGGGATGCAGTAAGAATTAGTATGGCAGCAGTCAGGTGGTAAGGTGATTTAGAGGCCACTTCACTCTCTCGCCCTCCACACATCACCCATCGCTCCTGGGCAGAGGACCACAGAGAAGCAGGAGACTGCTCCTCTCCCTGAAGGCTGTCAGCCACTACACCAGAGCAACAGGAAAACCGCGACCTGCCCAAGACTCGGCAAAGGCTTCAGTTCTCTGCCACTCTTAGAACTTTGAAGCAGTCCAATTTTACTCCTTTAACCTAATTAGGGCAAAAGAATTGCTAAAGTCAGTTCTGAAAGACACTCAACGGTGAGGCCTTGAAGGCCCTGGGCTTGACAATTGGCTGCCTCCATGAGACCTAGAGTACAGATGGAAGGCAGCTTGCTCAGGTGCCAGCCTGTCAGTTGGATTAAAATGAC